GAGGCCGAGCTCCCTGAACGGGATGGCTTCTCGGTGGCCCGACGCCGCGGAGGGAGGCGGCTCTGCTTCTGGGCCTGTCTCGGCCCGCCATCCCTGCGGAGAGCCCATCGCTCGGTCTGCGCTCCCCTCGCTTCAGAAAAACCGGGAGTAACTCCGTGTGTAGCCGTTCTCGGGGATGGACAAACCGACAAGTTTCAGTCCCCGTCCAGCTCCGCACGCTAAGGGTGTTAAACAAAATAAAGTTGTGAGCGTGCTGTTACTTTGCTCTCAGCTTCTATCATATTTCAGCATCGTGCTTGCGTACAATCTGTTATCAGCCATAAGGATGTTTATTTTGCTCATTAACGTAGTTGATATTTTATTGCTTTAGGGGTTATAAGCCAAGGAAGTGACAAGGTAGGCAGAGAGCTCTGCCAACATCAGCAGTCAGTGTACGGTAACTGGGTCTTGTTTAGGGAGGAAGAGGAAACTTCAATCGCAAGCTGTTCACGGTCTGTCGTGGTGTCGGTCAGCTAGATATAGAGGGGAATTCTGTCCCTGTTACAAGGAAATACTTGAGAATGCTAAATAAAGTTAAATAAAAATGAAGTAACAGCTGTCACATGCAGATTTGATTCATTTTGTTGGTGTGCTGTGAAGTCAGCCTAAATAATGTGAATTCCCTAATAAGGCTCCTGCTTCTCAATCCTGGTCACTGCAGCAATGTGTAGTTCTACTCTGCTTCTTCATGTGGTGTTACAGACGAGATGAAAATGTTTCTTTTCACTCGTCTCTTAATGGATTTTTATCTGTCAATTGTTGGTTAAATGTTTGGAATTTTTGAAAATACTAGCATTGCCATTTTTCTGGAACGCTTCCTGTATCTTGGAATGTAAAGGGAAGAAGCTTCCCCTCCACGTGAAAAACACTTTCCTTTAACTTCACATTATTACATCTGTAATCCCAGCCCTTATTTTCTCAAGTGCCCACATTGTAGTAACTCGCATTCCACTTCAAGAAAATTTGAAATACTTTTTTCATGCTGATTTTCTCTGACAAACACAATGAAAGTTTGCTTCGTGTCCTTACCAGCCCTTGGCATAGCATTTTAATTTGATTCTCCTTGTGTAAAATGATGTACTGTAGCAGAATTTCTATTTGCCGCATTTCTGACTGGAAAAAAGTCACTGTGCTTTTGTAAGTGTCTGTGGATGCTTTTTGTTATGCCAGTATTTTATTTTGCACTTTACTTTTTCCTTGCCATGGGCTCGGCATATCTTTTTTTTTTTTTCTCTTTACTCCCCTTACACAAAGGGTGTCAGAGTTTGCTTGTCACTGTTGCCTGTTCTATTGTCAGGTTAACGCCTGAGTGTTTCATGTGTGCTCTGCGCAAGCAAGGAAGACACTTGACCATTTATGAAAAATTACTAAATGAAATATTTGAACAGCTTTTTCCATATTTCTAATGCTGACTGCCAAACGTGTCTATCTTTTGTGATTTTTCAGGCTACATTTGCACAAATGTGAATCTAATTATTTTCTATATTGCCCTGCCTTACAGGTTGGCTTGCAGTCAGCTTTGCTAATTCTTCCAGGGAGTTAACTTTGCCATCAGAAATGGAGTACAGGACTCAGCTACCACATCCTGAGTGACCGAATCCTTTTATACAAAATGGAGAAGAAGCGTAGAAAGAAATGAGCCTGTTTATAAGGCTTTACCTCAAAAGACCATGAAATCTCTACTTATTTTGGACACAGCTTTAAGAATATCCAGTTGATCAGCACAGTGAAAGCAACGTTTACTGAAACAAAAATGAACTAGTTTATAAGGAAGAAAATTGTCATTTGAATATCTGGAATTTTTGGAATGAAACCATTTTCTTCTATGACCATGAAGTTTGCAAACATCTGGTTTGTTCTGGTTGTTATTTTACTCTGTGGCAAAAAACACTTCGGTACCAGACTAGGGAATTCCTCTCATGAGGCTCACATGTGTTCTGGATGTTCTCGCCTTACTTTGGAAGTGGAATTCACTTCGACAGTCGTGGAGCATGGTAATAAAGAGTTAAGCAGCAAAAAAAAAAAAACATGCCTGTGAAGTTCAAGTGTATGTTGCTGATTTGTGGTGTTTGTACAATTGTAACATTCAGAGAGTTTCTATAGAAGCATAAAATCTGCTGAATTCTCTGTATTCAAAAAGAGAAGCAGATTTTTTTCAAAGGTTCTTGGTTTAACTGGAGACAGGATTGAAAGAACAAGGGAGGGAAGAGGCGGGGAAAGAAAGAGGTTGTTAAAAGTAAAAATGGAGTGTGAAGGCTCAGGTGGGAAAGCCTGGTCACTTTGGTGTGTTTAGTAGCTGTTTGTTTTGACCCGACCGGTGGTATATTTGAAGCTCTTTTATGAAATGTAACCACAAGTGGGCCTTGAAGGGGTGAGAGAGGCAAGAAATCTCTGTAGGTGGAAAATGCGTAGAAAAATTGCAAAGATAATTGCGCAGGGAGCAGATGAAAGGCAAAGTGTGGCAGATATTACTGCTGAGATGGCAAAGGATAGCAGTAGGACACCTTGACCCTGCG